ATCTGCAAGCGGTGGTATACAGGCTGCTGCAAACTGACAGCATTAGAATGGACTTCCTAACTTTGCAACATCATCCGTTTGCCATTCCATTACAGGACATCATCAAAGTTTAAGCATTTTGCGGCTTCTCGTATAAGCAGATCTCACGCACTGCTAATATTTATGATGATCATTTAGCTATAAACAAAAAAGATGTAACTCTCAAAACATTTTTTTGTTTACATAGTATAACATGAAATCATACGTAAAACAATAACATTTCCTGTAAAAGGAAAGATAGTCTAAAATTATTCAAATCACATCATTGCTATTTATTAAAATACCACATTATTCACTATCATTTTTGCAAATTACTCTTGTTATATGCTACCGTGTGAAAAAATTCCTTTCACAAAAAAAAAATAATATATAACGCTGATTATTTTTTTAATATATTCAACAAAGTGAACGTAAGTATATAAAAAAAATTATTGGTAGAACAAAGCGCAACAGTAAAGTTTCAATAATAAACCAATTAGGCCAATTATTATCTATCTATCAGTGGTGTGTACTTGGAAAGTGCTTCAACCTCGCTGAAAATATGGAGTTAGTCAGGGAATTTATTAAGTATGGTTATTTTTAGTCCGCAATTATGGTTAATTAATTGAAAATAATGAATCAGTGATGCATTATATTCTTTTAAAAAAAAACCATATGGTGTCGACAAAAAACACAGATGGTTTTTGTTGGGCCCGGACATGCGGCCCAACATTCTGAGCAGATCGCAGATCGCAAATCACCAAAGGAAGCAGAGGCCCAGCGGGTTCGGGAGAAGCCCAGCGGNCTTCCAGAGGCCCANTCCAACTGTTAACCACGATCTGACCACACCTAAGACACATCCGAACTGAGCTTGGTCAAAACAGGGGCATATTAGATCAACCACGGTCAGCTCAACTCTAGTTAAATCCGCCACCTCTCACTATAAATAGAGGTCAAAGATGATGTAAAACGCCATGATCTCATTCCTCAAAAAGCACAAGCATCGATACACGCGAGCTCTCTAAATTATACCCTTTATACTCAACATTTGGTAGTTCGGGGTCTGTCCGATCTACTACGATCTCTTAGCTAGCGACCTGATAACACGGGATCTGTCCGGATTATCTTTAGCGACCTATCTATATTCACCTCTCTTCGATTCAACTTTCTATATACGAGATTCTCCGACCTCCGATCTATTATAAATTCATTGTCGACCTGCTTGGATCAACAGTTTTGTATATTTCATATTTGGTATAATTTCAGAAAGAACAAAAGCGGGACTCGCCTTTTGATAATATTTGTTATTATTTGTTTTTACGATATTTACAATGATTCCATAACACATAAATCTTTCATCTCCATTTTGAATAGTTTTAGGTTCATTGTTTGAATCAATTTATTTAGGCATGGTTAAGTGAATAAGGTAACGATCGATAATCAATTTATTTACGTTATTATAAGTTCATGTCATCATATGTGTTTCTTGTCTTAGGGGTTTATTATGTTAAAAACACTAGAGAGAATGTATGATTAAGGAATGATTGTATTTGTAACAAAAAAATGTTAATAACAGTTGATGATTATCGAATCATTGATTTGAAGTTCGTATATTGGAGGACCCTTAATAAATTTAATTTTTAACTCAAAACTTTTATAATCATATCTATGTGGCGACCCGACAAGGGCCACACCAATGAACGATGACTATATGGTGCTCGTACACTCACGAGTTTTACTTTTGCTCCTAATATTTTTTGATATGACCCATCAAATATGATAGATGTTTTAAGTATAACATAAAATAAGTATTAAGGTATTAAAGAAATATCCAAGATATATTATTTAGATGA